ACACAAGAAGATGTGGAGCCAAGTGAACCAGCTATTTATGTATGCAGGTCTTCAAGGACTGTAAAGCCCTCCACTAACAAGCTAGATGCCAAATCCAAGAAATGTTTCTTATTAGCTATAGAGATGAAGAATTTGGATTTCAATTTTGGGATGATCAGAACAGAAAGATTATCAGGAACAGGAATGTGATCTTCAACGAGAAGGTTTTGTACAAAGACAAATAAAGTGCAGAAATAGATATGGTTGATTCAGATATGACACGACTAAAAGATTGATGTCTTCTCCCAAGTGCAGGAGTGTCGAAGTAATAAATAACCCGGCAAGACCGGGGTCGAACCACAGGGAGGTTAATTGTACAAATTATAGACAACAATTATAAGCAACAATAATAGCAATAACAACAACAACAACAACAATAACAACAACAACTATAATAATAATAATAATAATAATAATAATAATACTAGTAGTAGTAGTAGTAGTAATAATAATAATAATAATAAAGAAAGAGAAGAAGAAGAAGATGATGATAACTTGGAGATGGAAAATTAATGTAAGGATTAAACAATAATAATAACAAATGTCAAGGTTAGAGGTTCCACTAATGGTATATCAAACAAGTATAGTATAAACTCTTATTATTGAATTGGAAACCACACACAAAGGAGGTTCCAATCAGATTATATATTGTTAACATGATTACATTAGTCATCTTATTCAATTAATGCTAATACTTGTAAATCTCGTCAAGCATTCATGATTATAACTTATGTTAACAACAAATCAAGTTTCTTTCATAGCTCAGGTGTCGGTTATACCATACAGTATGGGCTATGAAAGTGCCAAGCATTTGTTGTACCAAGTGTTATACAACATAAATCAAGATTAGTCATTTAACAAGCAAAGTATTAAAGAGTGAACAAGATAACAAATATAAAACATGTTAGTATCAAACATTAAAGTCCATATTAAGTTTACATTATACTTATTCTTACACCATTAGTGTAACCTTTTCACCTTGACATAATTAACTTAGCTAGACATAATGAAAGAAAGAAAAATAGATAAACAAAATAAGAACATAAAAGCTAACTAAGTAAAGAAAAGGAAATGAAAGGCATAAACTTAATATTAATGAAAGCAAAGCATAAATATTACAAAAAATACAAAGAGAGAAAGGAAGAGCATGATCTTGATCTGGAAACCAAGATGCCTAAATGCATGGCAAATGCCTCCTTTTATAGGCCAAAATTGGGAACTATTGATTTGATGACTAATTGATAAGTGGGTGGCCAACTTTTGACTTGGTGACAATCCTTATCTTCTCTTGTCTGCCCAAAACGTCATTGATAATGTCAAAACTGGAGCCAGTTGCAAACATGAAAGTTGTAGGCCATTGTCTCAGCTTTCTTGTGTAAAAACTTCAGCTCATTTGGACTTCTAGAACTCCAGATATGGCCAAAATACCGAACAGTGCTCGGCCTGGAAGACAGATTCGGGCTTCTTTGTTGTTGCTACAATTTGGACTTGATAATGACCTTTTTAGATCTTAGGCTCCATATAAAAGTTGTAGGCCTATGTCTTACCTTTCCATCCATATAAATTGGACCTAAATCTGAGATCTGTAGCTCCAGATATAACCCAATTACCAAATAGTGTTCCAGTTTGGATTGCACCGACATCTCTTCTCTAAGTTTGACCATCTCTTTATCCATGCAATTTAAGTTCTTCAAGTCATCAATCAATCCTTTCATTTATGTGATAGACCTGCATTAAAAATAGACATTCACCACAAATTATAGGTATCTTATATTATTAGATACATTATTATAAAACATATTTTAGTTAAGGAGTTATTGATACTTCAAGTGCAAAATGATGATATAAAACCATGATAAAAATGCACTTTTAAGTACTAATCAAGATACAAGTCCACAAAAATCTGAATTCATAAGATTAGAAGGGCTTCCCGATGTTACCGAGCTGAACAAAACTCAAGAGTCTTTACAAGAAAATTCAAGCACATCTGTACCCACTACTACACAAGAAGATCTGGAGCCAAGTGAACCAGCTATTTATGTTTGCAGGTCTTCAAGGACTGTAAAGGCTCCACAATGGTTCACACTTCTACTGAATTATATTTTGCTGACAGATGGTGGTGAACCACTAACTTATAAAGAATCCTTATAAGATGGAAACTCAAGCAAGTGGGAGTTAGCCATGAAGGACGAGATGGATTCGTTATTGAAGAAGAAGACTTGGGAGCTAACCACACTACCTAAAGGAAAGAAGGCTTTGCAAAATAAGTGGGTTTACAGAGTAAAGACTGAGCATGATGGAAGCAAACGGTTCAAGGCAAGACTTGTTGTAAAAGAATTTGAACAAAAGAAAAGGATTGACTACTCTGAGATATTTTCTCCAGCTGTGAAGCTCACAACAATCAGAATTGTTCTGGGGATAGTAGCTGCAGAAAATTTACATCTTGAACAATTAGATATAAAACAACATTTCTTCATGGTGAATTGGAGGAAAACATTTACATGTAATAACCAGAGGGGTTGTAATACAAGGAAAGGAGAACCAAGTCTACAAGCTAAAAAAAGCCTGTACGGTTTGAAGCAAGCTTCAAGACAGTGGTACAAGAAGTTTGACAACTTTATATGTAGTTTGGGATACACAAGATGCCAAGCTGATCATTGTTGCTATGTCAAACATTTTGACAACTCCTATATCATTCTATTATTATATGTGGATGATATGTTGATTGCAGGATTCAGCATGGAAGAGATTAACAAGTTGAAATAATAGTTGTCAAAATAGTTTGAAATGAAGGATTTGGGAGCTGCTAAACAAATACTTGGCATGAGAATAATCAGAGATAAAAACAAAGACATGCTAAAATTTTCACAAACATAATATGTCAAAAAGGTTCTCAATAGGTTTAGTATGGATAATGCTAAATCAGTAAGTACACCTCTAGGGAATCATTTCAAGCTCAGCAAAGACCAGTCACCAAAAACTGAGCTATAATGTGGATACATGGATAAAATTCCATATGCCTCAGCTATCGGCTCTTTGATGTATGCTATGGTCTATACCAGACTATACATTACCCATGTAGTGGGAGTTATAAGCCGATATATGAGCAATCCTGGAAAGCAGTATTGAGAGGCGATAAAATGGATCATGAGGTACTTAAAAGGTTCTTTGGAGACTTGTCTTACCTTCACAGTTGTTGATAGCAGAAAGAGTACTATAGAATATGTATACACTCTAGGAGGCATTGCAGTTTCCTGGAGTTCTATCTTGCAAAAGATCATCGCTCTTTCAATAACAGAAGCTGAATATGATGCAGTCTCAGAATTTGTAAAAGAGATCGTATGGTTGCAGAGTCTTCTGAAAGAATTAGACAAGATGAATGGAAAATGTACTTTGTTTAGCGACAGTCAGAGTGCAATCTTTCTTGTCAAGAATCCAGCATTTCACTCCAGGACGAAGCGTATTCAGATTAAATATCACTTCATCCGATAATTGCTATACGACGAGCAACTAATGCTAGAAAAGATCTGTGGAAGCGAGAATCCAAGTGACATGTTAACTAAAAGAGTTACTCTTGATAAATTAAAGCTGTGTAAAGCTTCAGTTGGTCTCAAAGATTAAAAAACAGATATAGTGTCATTTGTGTCCAAGTGGAAGATTGTTATGTATAGACACAAAATGGTTGTTGGCAACCATGTCAAACATGGCTGCATGGTAAGAGTCAAGAGTGGTTGCTTAAGCATAAAAAATGATTGCAAAAGTAGCTGCTATAATTGACTAAAATGGAGAGAATTGTCTCTAATATCAGCTATAAGTAGATGGTGCTAATGAGAGCTTAGATAGACACAAAATAGAGAGAAAAACCGAGAGAGAGAGCAATAGAGAGAGCTTGGGTGTGTAGAGTTGAGTTGAGAAGAGTTTTTCTCCTCCTTTTTGTTTGTATTGTTTTTTTGAGTGATTAATACAAACCAGTAGCTTCGTTGAGTAAACAAGTTGCAGAACCACGTAAATTTATATGTGTTTGATTGCTTGAATATCCCAACACCCGGTACATGTTACTGCACTATGACGTTTGCATTTTTTCATAATTTGTAAGTAAAAATACAATAACGGTTGTTTTTTTAAATATGTTTTATTTAAAAATATATTAAAATAATATTTTTTAAATATTTATTGTTTTTTTAGTAGAAGGGCACGATTGGTTCCCTTCACTAACCCCCTGCGTGAGATTTCAGTGATTAAAATCAGCATAGCCTACAGAGGCAATCCGTATATAATCCTACATATAAACAAGCTTATATAGTCAGTTACTGGAAAAATGACAAATATTATGATTCATTTTTTGGTAGTTGTGACAGTCATCTACCTAACACAATGGATCTATTAGGAAATTATATGCAGCAGAGAGCGTAATGAAACACTGGGAAACGGTTTTTGAGCTAGAAAAGATGATTACTTTTTTATGCAGCCAAACTGTAAGCTGACTGTGACACAAATACTAAATTGGCAATTTGAGCTACCTTCGGAGTTACTATCAGAGAGGATTCTCATGTTCTTTTGTTATCTCCCCAAATAGTATTATCCTATGAATCATTCTCTTTCTCCTTCTCTTCTTCAACTGCATGAGATTCATGCTATTTTCTTATCCCTGTCTCCTTTTAATTTATTGGAACATTGGAGATTGCTTATTAAAAAGGATCCTTTTTCACTTTCTTTTGCTTCGTCCTTCCCATGGTTTCTCTAGCTTTTTTTGTCCTACCCTTCAATTCTGAGTCATAATCAGATCAGCACAGCAGACATAGTTGAATCCAAAAAAACTTGATAAAAAGTGGCCCTTATGCACCCATCTCTTCCTTTTCTTTAGCCTTCTCCACCATTTATGCTTTATAAGTTAATCAAGGTACCATATTTGGATAACAGAAGGAAAACAATACTAACACAAGCATTCAAATTTTACTGCCATGGACACTGTGTTTGTGTTGGTTTCGTCACTCCCCTTGATTTTCAGCACCCACTTTGCGTTGACAGTTGCAAACAACCTTGAATTCTCTAGTATACAACCTACACGATTGGTCACCAAACTCATTCACCGCGATTCTATTGTCTCCCCATATTACAGGTCCAATGACACAGTTGCAGACCGCACAGAACGCACTATGAAGGCCTCACTTGCTCGTCTATCCTACTTGTATGCAAAAATTGAAAGAGATTTTGACATCAATGATTTGTGGCTCAATCTTCATCCTAGTGCCTCCGAACCCTTGTTCTTAGTAAATTTTTCCATGGGACAGCCACCTGTTCCACAACTCGCGATAATGGACTCAGGCAGCAGCCTCTTATGGATACAATGCGCTCCTTGTAAAAGTTGTTCCCAACAGATAATTGGGCCAATGTTCGACCCCTCCATTTCCACCACGTATGATAGCTTGTCATGCAAAAATATCATATGTCGTTACGCCCCCAGTGGGGAATGTGACTCGTCGGGTCAATGTGTGTATAACCAAACATATGTAGAAGGCCTACCATCAGTGGGAGTCATTGCCACAGAACAACTAATCTTTGGAAGTTCAGATGAAGGCAGAAATGCTGTTAATAATGTGCTCTTTGGGTGCAGTCATAGGAATGGAAATTACAAGGACAGGCGTTTCACCGGGGTCTTCGGACTCGGCAGTGGAATCACATCTGTAGTAAATCAAATGGGATCTAAATTTTCCTATTGCATCGGTAATATAGCGGATCCTGACTACAGTTATAACCAGTTGGTTTTAAGCGAAGGAGTGAACATGGAGGGCTATTCAACACCTTTAGATGTGGTTGATGGCCATTACCAGGTCATTCTAGAAGGAATTAGCGTTGGAGAGACAAGGCTTGTCATCGATCCTAGTGCTTTTAAAAGGACAGGGAAGGAAAGAAGAGTAATAATTGATTCAGGAACAGCACCTACTTGGCTAGCTGAAAACGAATATAGAGCACTTGAAAGGGAGGTTCGCAACCTAATAGATAGATTCTTAACACCATTTATGCGGGAGTCATTCCTATGTTACAGGGGGAAAGTGGGTCAAGACCTTGTTGGGTTTCCAGCAGTGACATTTCACTTTGCTGAGGGTGCAGATTTGGTGGTAGACACTGAAAGTATGTTTTATCAAGCCACACCAAATATATTTTGCATGGCAGTGAGCCAAGCTAGCGTCTATGGAAAAGATTTCAAAGATTTCTCTGTGATTGGGTTAATGGCTCAGCAGTACTACAATGTAGCTTATGACCTTAACAAGCACAAGTTATTCTTCCAGAGAATTGATTGTGAACTTCTTGATGAGTAAATTCCATCATGTGACCTTGAATTTTTATACCTTAAATGACATGCAAGGCAGTTAAAGGATGCATGTAATTCCCGTTGCAGGAAAACAGAAAGAAACAGGGGAACTTTTTTGCTCTGAATAATCCCATTTTGTGTGATACCTCGTAAAACAAAGGAGAACACAATAAGCTAACCAATAAGAACTTGCAAAAGAAAAGGCATCTGTCTACTGCATTTAGAAATATCAAAAGATAACAACCCAGAAGCTAACATATATATGCTGAAAGACAATCACAAAATAAAAGGTTGCAGAAGCTAAAATCCAAGTTTACACGTAATGTTTTTCTCCTTGGATATTGAATTATTAAGCCTCAAGTTCGTAGCTTAAATTTCAGTTGCATAATTCTCAAACAAACGTTGTGTATCATGTCAGCAACTTTCCAATATCTGCGCGCCCTTCATCCCAAAGATGATCGAGTGGCTTGAGATTTCTTCACCAGAAAATCAGAATCCAGTATTATTATGCAGGGTAAATTTTTGTTTGGAACAAGGTTTGCGGTGCCAGTATCGTGCTTGTCCTCCTCTTATACACACCAAGTTGCCAACCCTGAAGAGAGCGCCCATTGTCTGTTTAAGACCAAATAGCTTGCAAAACAAAAGATGATTTGGTCTAATGTCTGGGCACATGATGTCTGAGGCTTGCCCCAAGGTTCATTGAAAGCTTGCTTTCTTCTTTGTGCATGAAGCTGCAGTCCCACTAGCTTATTGTACTCAGAGTAACAGCAATAGCAACAATTATACACCACTCAAAAACAGACCAAACAGAGACAATTCCCTTTCTCCAAAATGCAAAGACAAACAAGTTCATCATCGGATAATCACGAATATCCTCAACTTACACCAGGCTGCCCATCTACTCAAAATTGTCTAAAATCAGCAAACAAACTCCATTTTAAAAAAAAATAACATCGCCTATGTCAGGTTTAACTAATTTCAATTGCACGACTTATCTAGTTATTGCCTTGACAAACTTGCCTCGTGAAGCTTTCTTCTCCAGTTTTTCCCTCTTCTTGCGGGTTTGAAAGTGTTTTTAAGTGTATGAGTGTTTAAATGAAGAGAACGTAGAGGTGAATTAATCCAGCAACTTATTGCTACTGTTTTATTAACAATGAAAGGAATAGATTGCAATAGTTGTCAGCAATCTTTACATATATATAGAATGAAAACAAATTGAAATGCTAACTAATATCAACATATCATGCCATGATCTATTAACAAACTAATAGATTAACAATCTCCTAAAGACTAGAACAACTCTTTGTTATTGTATAAAATAACTAAACAAAAATAGTACAACTCTTTGTTATTGTAGAAAATAACTAAACAAAAATAAACAAAGTTTTTGCCAATAACCTTGAAGCAAACTTCAACACTCTTTGTTTTAAGAGTTGCAAACTCTAATCATTTGTTTTAGAAACTCGGTTTAATAAGTAAATTTGCTAATTGATCTTCAGACTTGTAGTAAATCAATTTAACATCATCATTTCTTTATACCTCAAAAAAAAAAAGATTTGATATTAAAGTGTTTGATTTTTTCATGAAACATTGGATTGTGAGAGATTACTATAGTTGCTTGATTATCAACTATTATCAACTGAGTTTTTTATTGCTTCTTCTTCTTCCATATGCAAATCACGTAATATTTTCTAAAGCCATAAAGCTTGATTTACTGCTGCTGTGGCTGCAATGAACTCTGTCTTTGCGGTAGATTGTTCTACAATATCTTGCTTTTAGGATGAACACGAAAATAGTGCTAATCCTAGATGAAAACCAATTCTAGAAGTGCTTTTCATTTCATTAATGAATCCACCCCAATTACTATTAAAGAAACCATGAAATCTTAACTCTTGACACTTAAAAAATTTAACACCAAAACTACATGTCCCTTTGATGTATCTCATAATTCTTTTAGCTGCTTTTATATGTATTTCACTTGGACAATACATAAAATGAGATAGAAGGCTTGCTGCATAAAGTATATTAGGTCTAGTTAGTGGTGGAGCCATAGTTTTTTAAATGAGGGGGTAAATTATTAATAAATACTATATTATATAGACATGTATTAAAAATCAATTCGAAACAAATATACTAACTCATATAAAATAAAATTAATTTAAAAATATTTTTAAAATGAGAAAACTTATATTATAATTATTCTATTTAAGTTTTCATAATAACAAAATTAAGTTAAGTTACATAATAATTATAAATCTTTCATATGAAATTCATAGTAAAATACAAATTAATTCATCAAAATTCATTTTACATTTAATTGCCATGTAGCATACTGTACATAATGCATGAATATGGATTAGGATTGGTAGTCTAAATTTATCATGACAAATCATTTTTAAAAACAAAAAAATTGTTTTTTTTTCTTTTTTAAGAAAAAACCAACATGCATTGATTAAAATAAGGCTTGCACACACGTGTTAATTCTTTTCCAATAAAACACAAATTGTCTAAAAAAAAAGAGAAAAAAAATAAATAAAATATGCATTATTTAATCATTTATCTTGATTATTTTATAGGAGGGCACATGGAAATTAACATAATAAAAAGGACCAATCTCAAGCTAAAATAATTTTAATTATGTAAATATCAATCTTTACTTGCTGACAATAATTTGAATATTTGCTCGTTCATCTCATGAAAAAGTTTAGTTCCTTATCATAATCAATTCAATTGAAAATAATATAACCTTTAATTAATTCAAAACAATTAAATCAATGTTTATTGTTAAAAATCTTGCAATCTAATTCGCTACTATTCATCTTTAATTGATTCAAAATATTATATATATCAAAACCTCTAAATTATTATAAATCCTAATATTTTCAATAACTAATTATAAAAGAATAAAACTAAAATTAAATAATAAAACAAATAAAAAAATGAAATTTTTTTGCCTAAAATTACTTAACTGGATTTGAAAAAAAAAATTGTATAAGGAAGATAGCAGTTAAAAAAAAGTAGAAAAGCTCTTGAATAGTTAGTAGTTAGCAGAAAAAAAAAAGAAAAGGGAAAAGTTTGGGGAAATGAGAAATGAGCTGAGGTAATGCACATATATTATATATATTATTTATTATATTAAGACACAAGTCAACAATAGTAATTATGTGTGTCAATCCTTTACCATATTATTATATTAATATTTTAATTTAAAAAATATTTAAAAAAATTAAAGGGGCAATTGCCCCATTTTGCTCCTACGTGGCTCCATCATTAGGCCTGGTTGTCGTTAAATACAATAAACAATTAATCAAGCTTTTGAATTTTTGTTCATCAACTCTAGCAATCCCATCTTCTTTGTTGAATTTTTCTGTTTTGATTCATTGGAGTAGTTGTTGGTTTGCAATTCTCTATAAGAAATTTCTTCAAGATTTCCTTTGAATATGTTTTCTGACAAATAAATATTTCTTCTTCAGTCTGCTTGATTTCCATTCCTACAAAAAACTCATGAGACCAAGATTGGTCATTTCAAAAATAGGCATCATATTCTGCTTGAATTCTTCAACCTATTGTGTATTATTTACCTTCACTAAAAGATTATCAACATAGAGTGATATTATAAGAACATCATTATGAATCTTCTTTATATAGAGAGTTATTTTAGATAAGCTTTTCTGAAAGCTAAAACTTGTCAAATAGTTATTCATTCTACCATACCAGGCTCTAGGTGCTTACTTTAACCTATAGAGAGGTTGCTTTAGCAAATAAACTTTGTTTTCTTTTCCTTGAATCACAAACCCAACTAGCGATTCAACATAAATTTCTTCTTGTAGAATATCATTTAAGAAAGCTAATTTAACATCTAACTGGAATACTTTCTAGTTCTTGTGTGTAGTAAAAGCAAAAAAAAATAAATAAAATCTAATGGTGTCCATCCTTGTTATAGATGCAAATGTATCTGAATAATCAATATTATAAATTGGAGCATACCCCTTAACAACCAACCTAGCTTTATGGTTGTTAATGGTGCTGTTTGCATTCAGTTTGGTCTTAAATTAACATCTAACTAGAATACTTTCCAGTTCTTGTATGCAACAAAAGTAAACAAAAATCTGATGGTGTCTATTCTTGCTACATGTGTAAATGTATTTGAATAATTAACACTATAAATCTGAGCATACCTTTAACAACTAGCCTAGTTTTATATTTGTTAATGACAATGTTTGCATTCAGTTTGGTCCTGAATATCCACTTCACACCATTGATTTTTTTGTCTGGTGATCTATCAACTATTTCCCATATGCAGTTCTTTTCAATCATGGATATCTCCTCCTGCATTGCTTTTTGCCATTCTAGGTTCTGTTGAACTTTTTCATAGCCTTCTGGCTTGCAGACTACTACATTATTCCTTTGATAAATGTTCTCAAGAGATCGGGTGCCTCTAATTGGTAAATCATCAAATGATTCACCTTCAATTGAGGTTTGATTTAATCTACAAGCAACTCATTTCTTAGTGAGTCTCCCCAATCCCATTGTTCTTTTTTATGGAAATAAACATCCCTGGAAATGTCCATCTTTTGAGTCTGAGGTTATATATTTTGTAGACTTTTGAAGCAGTAATATAGCTAACAAAGATAACCGGCATAGCCTTCTTCTCAAGCTTTTCCCTCTTGATCTGTGGAACATGAAAAAAATATATACTATCAAAGATTTTAAGAAAGCATAGTGAAGGTTTGTAATTAAAACCAAACTTCAAAAGGTGTCTTTTCTTCCAACAATTTTGTTGGAAGTCGGTTTTGAAAAAAAAAATAGTTGTGTTAGCTGCTCTGCCCAAAACATCTTTGGCAAATTCTTTTTATATAGCATGCATCTAACCATCTCCATTATATATTTATTTCTCCTCTCATTAACTCCATTTTGTTCTAGAGTGTAAGGAGTGGTGAGTTGATGTTCAATGGCAACATCTTCACAGTAAAAATTGAATTCTAATGAAGTATATTCTTTAACATT